TCTCATTCTTTGTGTGGTAATTCTGTAGACTGCTATCCTGGCGGGGACAAACTACAACTGCTGATTTTTATAAAAGCGAAAAGCCACTTCATCGACAGAGCGAAAGTCTTTTCAGAATCGTTTAACTTTTACTTTGCCTACACGTACACACAAGGGAGTGTACTGTCAACACAGTTTCATATAAAATCGTCAGTAACGACCCTTGAAAAAATTAATTATTCAGCTGCAATTTGTCTTTTCATTCTACTGGCTAAACATCGACGTGGCTGCTTCGGGAATACATCAGTTAAGTGATTTAGTATATTCTTTGGTTTTGTTTGATTTATGTAATGTGCTGATAAAGGCTCTGTAGCCGCAACCTTTACTTTCCGTTTGTGTTTATTATATTGTGAAGCTCACTGATCTACTTTTCGTTCGATTTTACATCTTTTTATAAAAGCTGGCATGAGCTACCAAGGCAATGCAAAGCAGCTGTGTTGCAGGAAATGTTGCGAAAAGTAAAGGCTGTGGTGGAGGTGGGGGGGGGGGGGGTTTTACGTCAAACACAAAAAACGCTTTAGGACATAAAAGTGCTTCTGGTCGTGAGCACCGTTCTTCCCCTCCGGGCTTCTGCCTAAAGATTTGACACCCTGAGCTTAGGTCACATTTCTCTGGACTGCAGACCATCTTGACCTGGAGGTCCGACACCCTGAAATTACACACTCTCAGTCTGGATGGTAAACTACCTGGGCACATCTCATACACCCCGTTCGACCTCAGAAGGAGGTAAATTGAAGTAAAGATCTCCCCGTGTGCCTTCTTGGGCCCTATTATATGGAAAACAAGAACAGACCCACTGCCTGCCCAAAAGCTTGTCGTAAGAGTCAACTAATTGGGAGCTTCCTTCGAAGTCGGAGTGCATGTGCCCGAGAGGCAAGGAACCAACAGTCTGCATACAAATTAGTCAGATTTGCCAAACGGATGCACACGCAACACTCAGGTTCTGGAACAGGAGGACTGCAGTCAAGAAGTGGACGAACAACCAGAACTTTCCACCGGAGTTTACAGCCTGTGAACGCAAAGAAGAAGAAGAAGTAAAGGATCCTTTTCCATACCTTTAGACGTTTTGGGCACATAGAATTAGATATATACGTTAAAGACCATTCGGTACTTGGTGGGTGATATGGTCAACCTTACGCCGACCGTCTTTACTTCCCAGGACTAGTACCTGCTACCCATTTAAGACTGAGTCGACCTGGGAGCCAAGATCATTTCTGGAAAAAAAAAACAAGTCCGGCTGCGTCGTGACCCGAACCCACGACATTCCGAACCACAGGCGAGAGTCTAGGCGCTACACCACGGCGGCTTCCTTATAGCACAGTTATAATTGAGCACTGCAAAACGATCACGAAGTAACCTGTAGTTCAGCGCCGGTAGGTTATAATAACTGGGGCACCGGTCCGGGATACACCGGGCTTGTGTAACCGGCAGTGTAGTGCGGCGGGTAGGGAATGTTAACAGAATTGGGTAAAAATAACGTTGATCCCCCCACGCCCAGTACATATACACACCAGCTCACTTCTGATTGGTAGTTCCTAAGCCTGTCACCTTTTTCACGTTTTTCTTCTGAGAAAGAATATGCCTGTGACATAGATTGCAGCTCCCTCTAAGGGGATTGTGCGTTAGACCCAGTTTGTCCATGTTTTTTGGAGTGTTAAAAGCGCTGGCGTGCTGAAGTACACAACACGCGATATCAACTGAATTGCAAAATACCACCGTAACCTTTTGTGAAGACCGGGTGGCTTAAGGTCGACCAATCAGAAGTAAGCTAGGTTGAAGGTCGTCCAATCAGAAGCAAGGTAGTGTGTAGCACTCTGTAAATATGGGGGGGGGGGGGGGGGGGACTAATTTTACTTTTACCCAGCCAAGTCTGGGATGGCAAAACATGACAACCTATGATTTTAATCAGGGTGCCGTGAAATCCTTGTCTAGACTTGGCAGTGCTTTTGTCGGTCTACTTCCTCATCATCATCATCATCTTCTTCTTCTTCTTCTGATCTTTCTTCTTCTTCTTCTACGCATTAACCGGCTGTAAATGCCAGGGGAAAGATCTGGTTGTTCGTCCACTTCTGAACTTTAGTCTTGTTTCAGGACTTGGGTCTTGCGTGCACATCTGTTTACAGATCTGTTTTATTTTTATCCAAACTGTAGGTTCCTCGTCTGTAAGGGATTTACACTTCGACTTCGCAGGAACACCACAATTAGTCAACGTTTACTGCCGCGCACTTTTAAGAGACACATTGTTTTCCTGCAACCCACATGGGGAACTTTTGGACCTCCGAGGAAAAAAAAATGGTGAGTATGTGTCAGCAAAATCTATGCGGAAACAAATAACTTTTCAGATCAGAGCGTCTGCTCGCATGTCGATCAGCCATTTCGGTTGGAAGTGTATGAAATATGAAAAGAGTTCAATGTAGATACTGATATAATGGTGTGACTTGTCAAGCCTTCACATATGTCCTCCTGTATTTGACACAGTCGATGAATCGTCTTATCGATTCCAACCTCTCCCTGGTATGTAGCGGCACTTCATAATTCATGATTTTTTGTTGATTCTCTCTGACAGACAGTCTATCTGTATATCCACCTATCTGCCCAGCTCTCTAGCGTAATTGGCTAAACCGGATTGCACGGAGACCGGGTGACGAACTTCTTGTGGTCCGGGGTCAATCCCGGGGGTAGGCAGAAAAGCCACATTTTCTCCCAGATTTACGGTATTTACAATGGAATCAAGGCCGAAAGGTTGCGATATCCATAATACCGAGCCTAAGGGTTAACAACTCATGAATTCTGGATACTAAAAACAAAACAAAAATCCACCTATCTGTGTCGAGAGCTTCTACCCCCCCCCCCCCCTCCTCGCTGTTTCTTAGTGTTGGCGACGTTGATGTCAACACAAAGCTATTGATACGATAAGCCAACTTTGGAGAGTTCTCGAAGCCGGCTTCTGTTGCCACGATGTACAGCTTTAGAACCATGTCAAAGGTCTTCAGCTATGACATAACTCGGGCTCAGTACCTACAGGTACTCGTACACTGACACCAGTGGTAGCCACACACAGTCTGCTGTAGCTGTTATTACCTCAGACAGGTATATGGGATATTTGTTGTGAACACTTTATAGAGGTATACGTGGATAAAAGCTGTGATCACCAAAAGTATGTAAATCTTGATATTAGTTGTGATTGTCTTATACAGGTGTAAGTGGATAGTATAGGTGATTACCTAAAATATGTATGTGTGGATATTAGTTGTGATTATCTTAAACAGCTTATAGGGATATTAGAGATAATTCCTAAAATAGGTAAATGTCGATTCATACGACAAGCTTGTATCCTGGGAGGCACTGGGTCTATTCTTTTTTCTCCAACAATAGGACCCAGAATTTACACTGGGAATATATTTTTTTTCTATTTATGTTGATTGTATGTGAATAAATTTGTTTGTAAATATTTACCAAATCTCTATAAGTACTCCAAACGATCCCTGGCGGGGGGGGGGGGGGTCATTGCTGGAGCTATGAAATTCGCACATTGTGCAGTACTTTGGTCAGACGGACGGCTGCTCTGTGGAAGTAGATCGAGTCTTTTGGGATAAAAGGCGGTGCTGTGAAGTCACTTCTCTCACTACAACCCCCGCCCCCTTTTTTCCATTCTGTTATAACAAGTTTCGCCGTGAATAAGGAGGCACTAGGGCTGCCAATGATGGGTTTTTAACCCCAGACCTTGGTTTTCTATTTGACGCCTTGGATAGAGATTTTAGAGTCTTGGGTTAAAAAATATATATATCCTGATATAAAAGTGGGTAAGTGTTTAGTTTCGTCGCTTTAAAATGTTAATTTTTTTAACAATCTGGGTTTGTTTGTTCTTTGCTTATGTATTGCTTGGGTTTTTGTTTAGCTTAGCTAGGTTTTAAAAAAAATCCCATTGGCAGCCCTGGGAGGCACCGTTCAGCAGAAGTCCGGAGTAAGAATGGACGGAAGGGACGTGGAATTTATGGCGACATGCCTAGCGACAACCTTCATTCTCGAGCAGAATTTACGATGCCACCGAACTGGCCTACATTCGGTGGTTCGGTCGACTGTAAATTCTTCTTGTTCTGATTCTTATCTCTCAATGGGTGGGGGGGGGGGGTGATACCCTAGGTTAACTTACGTCAAGCGCACTAGAACAGAAAATACTATATGTGAAAGACGCAGCCTTCGAGAGATATATATGAAGAAACTGTGTTCGAATACCAGCATTAGATACAAAGTCAGAATACTATAATAATTACATTGACAAAGAATGAAATGATTCAGGGATCTAGTAAGAGTGCAGCCAGATCAAACTGCATAAAAGACTTTTCTTGACAGCCGAATATTTCGGAGGAAGACCAAGAAAGAAATGCATAAATGATGTAGCAGAAACCTGCTAAAAGATGAAAAACTCCATCTGAAAGCGCAAGACAAATACAGAAAACCACGACCCTGGGCTACAACTTGGTATCAGTAAGACGACAATAGAAAAAGATGAAACCTCTTGTAGATTTCTTATAAGCGGTTGGATTTTGCAGTTAATATTGCCTACGTGATAAGCTAGGCAACCCCACGCCAACCTTCCTTAGTCGCCTCTTACGATATAAATGGTAGGTTATAGTGTGAAGACTTTTTACTTCCCCGGTGGCACCGGTAACAAACGGTGAAATCCTCAATACAGCTCGAAAAATAGGAGAATCAGGAATTGGCGCAAGGTCAAAGTTCAAATGGATGAACAACTAGTACCTTCCTCTGGAATTCATAGCCGGCGAACGTTAAGAAGAAAATAAAGAAGTCATATTCACGATTCCCGGCCCATCTACACACTTTCTGTTTTATCTAGGTCAGAGGATGTCACGTTGTATTGTTTTTGTAATTAGAAATATACGTTGTAATCAATGTATACTAGAGTATAACTCTCCTGGCTTCAATTTCAGGTCAGAAAGATGATTGCATCAACACTGAGGCTTTTAGCTGCTGCAGCCATACTTGCAACTATCCTTCCGGTTGACTCCAAGAAAGTTGTATTCTACCCAGCACCTACTGCCAGCTACGTCATCTACCACTCCAACATCGCCTCATCCATGTCTAGTCTCGGTCACGATGTGTGGATCTGTCTGCCTCGCTATCTTGTGGTCAAGAACTTGGTCAAGGACCCGGCCATCAAAATTGTGGAGTACGGCAAAGATTTGGGTGACATGGTTGCCAAATTGTTAATAAGCACTGGGTTACTTGATAATTTTTGGGATGGTAAACAGTCAGAAGGACTGATGTATTTATATAAAATCTTTCAGGAATATATGAAAATATCGGCCGCGATCATGTCTGATGAATCATTTCTAGAACAGGTTAGGAACATACAAGCGGATTTATTTGTTTTAGATTCAACAGGCCCAAGCATAAGCATGATTGTGCTGCCCTACAAACTGGGCATTCCTTATGCGCTGGTCGGAACAATGCATGACGTCATTGTGGCCAGGGTACCGTTTAGCCCTGCAGCCACACCTCCTTTCCCAAGACCCGGCTTCAGCGACCAGATGTCTTTCAGTCAACGACTGCAGGCCACGATATTGTCCGCGGTTCTGATGACTTTTGAAATATGTTATGATAGTAATCTAGTGTCCACGTTTGTCCCAGAGAAGCCGTATATTTCTATAACCAATCTGGCAGCAAAAGCGGAGATCTTCATTGCTGAACTGGATCACATTCTCGACTATCCCCGGCCTATGCTACCAAACACCAAACTGATCGGAGGGTCTTCGGCCTCTGCTGCCAAACCTCTGGCCGCGGAGTTTCAGAAATTTGTGAACGAATCGAAACACGGCATTGTTGTTGTTTCGTTCGGAAGTGCAGTTGTTGACATACCCCCGGTCATCAGTGAAAAAATGACGGCGGCTTTCAACCAACTTGACCAGAGAGTCGTGTGGAGAGTTAATATCACCTCTCCTGAGCCCAACCACATCATGACCTCCAAGTGGATACCGCAGAATGATCTTCTGGGTCAAGAGAAGACACGACTTTTTGTATCCCATTGTGGCAAAAACGGACAGTACGAGGCTCTCTACCACGGAGTTCCCATACTCTGTCTGCCCATTTATGGCGATCAGTTTTACAATGCCGAAAGGATTCGAATCAAAGAGTTCGGTCTGTCTGCTGACGTCCGGTCAGTTAGCGCTGACCAGTTGGCGGATTTAATGAAGCAAATTATCAATGAAAGCAAGTACACTGGCAATATGAAGAAGGCGTCTCGTTTGTACCGTGAGTTGTACAAGGTTTCGATGAAAGAAGCTGCCTTTTGGCTGGATCACGTGATGACGTATGGCGGAAATTATATGAGATCTTCAAGCCAAAAGATGCCTCTATATCAGTTTATGCTTTTGGATGTGCTGTCTGTCATCCTTGGCTTCAGCTGCCTCCTATTGGTGCTGCTATTTTTCCTTGTCAAGCTTTGCTGCAGATGTTGCAGGAGGAAGGGCAACAACGCCAAAGTAAAACAATCTTAGATAACTTTAAGTAGATAGTAGACATTATTGTAAATGGATACACATAATAAAGACTGGTAGCAGGAAAAAAGAATAGTAGGAATAAAATGCGGATGATTTAAAAAAAATGATAATAAAAACATACTGAAGAAAATATTAATCTGAAATATCACAAACTGAAATAAAATTAGGAATAGTGAAACTGTTTACATAAAGGTATGCTCAAAAGTGATACCTGCTTACAACACCTAGACTATGGATAAGGCGATTTTCCGAAGAGAAACGCACGTGTTGTTTGATCACCGATGCAAGATTTTGTCGCCGAGACAGATATACCATCTTTGCCTTTGCGGTCAGAGCTACTGAGCATATTTCAGAGCAAGTCTTAACAAGCTTATCAGAGAAAAGGCCCGGCTCTCTAGCGTAGTTGGCTAAACCGGATTGCGCGGTGAGCGGGTGACGAACTCCTTGTGGTCCGGGTTCAATCCCGGGGATAGGCAGGAAAGCCACATTTTCTCCCAGATTTAAGGTATTTACAATGGAATCAAGGCCGAACGGTTGCGATATCCATAATACCGAGCCTAAGGGTTAACAACTCATGGCTTCTGGATACTGGGGAAAAAATCAGAGAAGAGAAATACAGACTAGAGAAGCGACACTTTTACAAACTGTAGAGAGCGATAAAGACCATCAGCACACCATCTTGTTTATGACTCATTCTGGAATAGATGCATCATCAAGTGACTTGCCAAATGGCTTGCGCGATGATGCCTATCTTGTAATCTCCAACTGGCATCAGTTTGCTTGCCGGCACATCTCCACTCCCTGGCAAACGCTGTCAGAAATCTTCTTTCATTGTCTTTTCACGGGTTTCTTTTTATAAATATTTCCAGTTGTCACATGTTCAAACCTCTTGACTCTCATTATGTAACTACAACATGGTAACGGCGATGATGACATTTAGCAACAACAACAACAACATCAACAACATAGAACGAAAAAAAAAACTTTAATTACAATGTATGTATAGAATATTCTTCCTTTACGGCGACTGCATATATTACTGTAGATAATGATTTGATAAGCAACTTGTCTATGTCTTAATGACTGCTTAATCGACATTTGATTTTCTCAGAACTTTTTTTATTGATCCAAATATATAGTTTCAGCTTCTACCTCATGCTTTGCGAGCCGTGGTGGTACTTTCATTTTAGTTCACCCCATCTAGGCGAATCCGAGAGTCCCCGGAGAGTCCATTATTATGGGAGCGAGGTTTTGGTGTTAGAATTAGTCGGTACGCATTTCACACCTTAACACCCCTATAAGTTGGATTTTTCTCCCGGATGGAGTGAACTAAAATGAAAATACCGCTAGCAAAAGGCCAGCGGTCACATATTCAAATTCGCCTGCACTTCTGGATCAATTCCCGGCCCTTCCTGAACCGCATGCGAGCATCTAACCGCCACACCACGGCGGCTCTCCCCCCCCCTCCTCCTTCCCTTATAACAGTTATATTGGGGTACCGCAAAACTTCACGAAGTAACCTGTATAGTTCAGCGTCGGTAGGTTATAAAACCTGGGGCACCGGACTTGCGTAGCCGGCAGTGTAGTGCGGGTAGGGAGTGTTAATAGACATGTCCTGTTTTTTTTTTTTTTTTAAATACCCAATCAGGGAGCTGATAAGTTTAATAGCATTTTCCTACTCTTATCAGGCCGAATTTTATTGCCAAGATAGCATTTAAAGGGTCCAGTTTCATCCTTTTCTTAGGTTAGATTTGATAAATCCACTCCTAATGAAAAACATCTACCATCTAAACATCAAAAACACCATCTAAATGCGAGGGAAACATCTAAATCTGGATGTAAAACATCCAAAGTGGCAACACTGAAGGGGGCCCTATTAATGATAAAAGTAATGTTGATCTCTCCACGCACCATCCATATACGCACTAGCTCACTTCTGATTGGTAGTTTCTGAACCTGTCACCTTGGCACAAGGTTACGGGGGTGTTCCGCAATGCCGTTTTATATCACGTGCTGTCTATTTCAGTACGCCAGCGCTTTTAACACTCCAAAAACATCGAGAAACTGGTCCTAACACAACCCTCCTAGGGAGTGCTGCAACTTATGTCACAGGCATTCTCTTTCTCGGAATGAACACACAAATACAAGACATCACAGAAAGCAGACAACAGAGCAGGACACACCCGTAACCTTCAGGAAAGTCGACCAGCCCAACAAACTTGTGAATAAAAAGGGACCTACTCTATCTAGGGAGATTAACGTGAACCTCACTCTATTAGTATAGGAGCCCTGTGATCATCTGCGTTTATGTTTAATAGGTCAAGTTCACGTTTCCCGGCCCATCTACACACTGGCTAACCTTTCATCCATACTTCCTCAGACTCTTCTACGTCAGAGGGGTGTCACGTTGTCTTGCCTCAAATTACATCAGCGCTGATGTCTCGTGTTCTACGCTACACGATGACACAGCTTTCAACTACCCCAAAACACCTAGAACTGGCCCTAACCCAAACCTCCCTACCCATAGCCTGAGCCTAGGTCACACGAGAGACTCTTTTCGAAGAGATCAGTACAACATGACACCCCTCTGATCTAGATAAGACTGACAGCTGACACGCTACGTTGTGGTTTACAGCTACGATTTAAATAAACGTTAGTAGTCTCCCCAAACAAAGTAGGTCACGTTTCATTGACAACTTTGTTGGATTGGTCTACTTTCGTAGGAGTTACGGGTGTACTGCTCTGTTATTTGCTTTCTGGCTTGTCTTGCATTTACGTTTTTCTTCCAAGAAAGAATATGCATTTGACATAGGATTCAGCTCCCTCTAGGGGTGGGGAGTTGTGTGTTAGACCCAGTGTGTCCATGTTTTTGGAGTGTTTAAAGTGCTGGCGTGCTGAAATATACAACACGCGATATCAACGGCATTGCGGAACACCCCCGTAACCTTGTGTGAAGGCCGGGTGGCTCAAGGTCGACCAATCAGAAGTGAGTTAGGTTGAAGGTCGTCCAATTAGAAGGGAGGTAGTGTGTAGCATAGTGTAAATGGGGAGGGGGACTAACTTTACTTTTACCCAGCTACGTTTTGATGGCTTGACATTTTCGCTTAATACATCCGATGTTAGCATATCACTAATTAGTTGTTTTTTCTGACATGTTTATTGAGGTGCAGAGGGCCCATCGCCCCACCCCCAATATTAACGTATCTATACACTGATCTGGAAAATGATTGTGGTGATCGTCTGGGATGGCAAAACATTGCAGGCTATGATTATCAGCGTGATGATGATGATGATAATGATGATGATGATGATGATGACGAGGATCTACACGAGATCTATTTGATCTCAAGCTATGAGAATTCTCTTTACTGGAGGTGTGAGCTAGCCTTTGAAGCCAAGATAGTCTTTCTTTTAATTAGGGTGCCGTGAAATCCTTGTATAGACTTGGCAGTGCTTTTGTCGGTCTACTTCATCATCATCATCATCATCATCATCTTCTTCTTCTTCTTCTTCATCTTCTTCTTCTTCTTCTTCTACGCATTCACCGGCTGTAAACGCCAGCGGAAAGATCTGGTTGTTTGACCACTTCTGGACTTTAGTCTTGTTCCAGGACTTGGGTTTTGCGTGCACATCTGTTTGCAGATCTGTTTAGTTTGTATGCAGACTGTAGGTTCCTCGTCTCTAAGGAATTTGCACTCCGACTTCGCAAAACACACCACAATTAGTCAACGTTTACTGCCACGCTTTTTTGGGAGACACATTGTTTTCCTGCAACCCACACGGGGATATCGGTATTTAGCGTTAGCTTTACATCTTTATTCTTGATGTGTGACGCACTTTCGGCTGGTGCCGGTGATGAAGATGCAAAGCTTCAAGGTTCCGACACCCATGGTCGTCTTAAACAGAATTATGAGCTTCTGGGTCAAGCAGTGTGCTGGGGCCCTTAACAAAACCACTCATAGGAACGAAATGTAAATGGTCGATAATATTAAACAAACATGTTTACGTTTCCTGGCCCATCTACACACTTTATCAGTCTGATCTAGGTCAGAGGGGTGTCACGTTGTACTGGTTTCTTGGAAAAAAAATCCTGCGTTTGGCTGAAGCTCTGTGTAGGGGGGTTTGGATTAGGGCTAGTTCCACGTGTTTTAGGGTCGCTGAAAAGCTGTGTCATCGTGTAGTATAGAACACGCGATATCGACGCTGCTGTAATTGGAGGGAAGACTACGTGACACTTCTTCGACGTAGAATAGAGAAAGTATGAATGGAAGGTCAGTCAGTGTGTAGATGGACGAGAAACATGAACAGGACCTTACCACTTTTTGGGCGGTGTCGGGAGTGGGGTGTGGGTTAGGGGGTCTTGAGCCTGAGTATTTAGGACCCTATTGCTAGTGCTGTCGTCCCATGAGCAAAGTGTGCAGAGCAAGCAATGGGGAACCATGAAGGACCTGCTACTGACATACGAGTTCACAGAGGCAACCCATCTGATGGTCTGATCTGTGCAAACGAAACCGAACGCAAAAAAAAAATAATAAGTGCTGTCGCCACGGACTATGCAGGTTATGGCGTTTAATTATGCCCTGATAGAAAAACTCCATCACTTCATCGGGTGGTCGAACCCGGGTACCCCCCGCATGAAAGCCCAACGTCGTAACCACTCTACCGGTCGCTTCTCATTCATTACAAAAGCAATGGACAATCAAAGGGAGCAAACCCAAGTAAATTTCAGTGAATAAGAAACGGGAAAACGAAAATTGAAGTTGGTGCCGCTTGAAATAGGCAAAAGGAAATATCCTGGTAAGTTCAGACGGTCAATGCCATCATGACCCTAGCACCCCTAGACTGCCGACTAATCTATAAAATTGTTTGTACCTTTTCCTTCTACAAATCCACATTGTTCATAGTTGATTTCTGGTTTAATTTTGTTTCTTATTCTTCTCATAATTATTCTCAGTAAAATCTTAGTCATGTGACTCATAAGACTTATTGTGCAATGG